GACCAACTGTGCTTCCCTGCAGCATAAATCTTTTTTGCTTCTCACAGTGGTATCTTTATTTCTTTATTGTCCTCTCTACCTAGATTCCTATCACGCTCCCGTCCACTTCAACTTCCTCTCTGGCCTTTGCTCACTCAGAGTCTCTACTAGATGGCCTCCTTTGCCCGATTGTCTTTTCAAGCAGGATATATGTCTGTCTTTAATCCCTGCATCAGTTACAGTTCTGGCAAGCACAAGTTGATCAATAAGCAATTGCTAACTAAGCAAGTTTAACAAATGAGTACCAGTAACATCGGTGTGGTAATCTCCAAGTTGCAGTGTCCCATTGTGAGGGCATGAGGCATTTTCCTGTCTTGTAAGTGTCCTAGGTTACTGCAGATAGGCTGTCATTGGAGGTTGTTTGAGGCATAGAGACCGACTTGTATGTTATTATTTAAAAAAACAACAACAACACACACATAAAACTTGTAATCTGACTCTATTTCAGACCTCTTTATGTAGGAAATAGGGATGTGGAATCTTACTTGAATAATTTCTGTAGCTTAAATATTTGGGACAACATATGTGCAATTCTACAAGAATCTAAATTCTAATATTCTTTTTTTATAGAAATAGCATCTTCACACTTATGTAGAGTATAAAATACTTGTAAAAATTGACAGTATTAAATATCTTACATTATATTTTCAGGAAACATAAACTCAACTAAGGTCATAGGACCTATGATTGCAGACTGATTAGGAGAATAAAGAGTTCATTCACATTTAAAGAAAGCAGCAGCACATAACGGTGAGTGTAACTGATTGACATCTCTGTTAGGGATGTGGATAAATATCTTCTAAAGGAATTATGGAGTTATATTATTTTAATACTATTTTATTAAAGAAATGTATACAAATAGTATTTTATATTTAATATATGTTTTGAGTTTTCAAGAAGTAAAGCAAGACTGAATTTTTTAACACTATTAGCATATTCTGCCCCAAGAGAATATGATTCTCAAGAGAATGGCTCAAACCACATGTAGAATTCCTCTAAATATGTAACCAAACACCGTATTTTCTTCAATTAGATAAATGTTGGGTGTTATGTTTCTATAATTTATGTAAATTGCAACCATAAACCTATAATTACCCTATTTAAACTTGGCTGGTTCCCCAAAGACTTCTTAGAAGAAAACTTAGAATAATAATTAATGCCTATCTTTTCAGAGCCACTGGGAGTGCGGTACTCTAGGTTGTATTTTTGTAAGTATCTAGTTTTGCATATTTCTCCTAGACAGGAATATTTTTATATTAAGTGGGAAGATAATTAGGAAAAACATGTTTCTGTGTGTATTTGGGAATATTATGGTAAAGGACATTTAAAATAGCTATTTAAAGCCAAACAATAATCTAACTTTTATTTTAAATCGTTAAAATGCAATATTTAGAAAAAAGTTGGAATGAAACCTGGATCTTTTAGCTTCTACCCTAAATCCACCCATTCCTCCAGTACTATACAGCCACTACTTTCTGCCTCTATAGATTTCCCTATTCAAGACATTTCATATAAATCAAATTGTGTATTTGGCTATTTGTACTGGCTTCTTTCACTTAGCATAGTTTTTGAGGTTCATCCATTTTTTATCATGTGTCAGTATTTTATTTTTTTGTGTGGCCAAATATTATTGACATTACATGTGGCATTATTTACATATTTTGCACATTCATTTGATGGGACATTTATTAATTAGTATCTCCATTTATTATTTTATTTTTTATTTACTGAGTTTAGAAAAAGAAGGGGGGCAGAGGAAAAGAGGAGGAGAAGGGGAGAGAGAGAGAGAGAGAAACATCTATTTGTTGCTCCACTTATTTTTGCATTCATTGGTTGCTTCCTGTATGTGCCTTGACCAGAGATTGAACCTACAACCTTGGTGTATCAGGAGGATGCTCTAATCAACTGAGATACCTGGCCAGGGTTAATTAAGGTCCTTTTAATTAAAACCAGTATTTACTATGTAGCAAAAGATCATGTCAGCTATACCTTTTATTACTGGGCTTTTATGCATTGGGGAGAAAATATCCAAAGTCTGAGTAGCTTTCTGGTACTATGAAGCACCAAATAATAAAGCAATAAAAGGGTAATATGAAAATTGAACCTAAGGTGGACTCTCGAACATCAACCATTAGTGAACTTCATCCCAGTTTGTTGCCAAAATAAAAGGGTCTTTCTTATACTTTCTTGGGATAAATGCAAGAAATATCTGCTCAATGAGATCATTGTTTTAGCTTAATGAAAGGAATGGCAATTTCATATTTTTAAATGCATCTGAACAGGCAATGAGATTGTAGGCTTGTAATATTGTCTTTATTCATACAATGACCAGACTAATTAATCTCTAAGATCCTTAAAGTTATATGAATTGGATCTATTAGTGGTGGTTTTGTTGACTGGCCTCTATTATATTTCCCTAGAGCTGCATTTCAATGGAAGTGTCGAGAGGAAAAAAAGAAAGGAAGGAAGAAAAAAGAAAGAAAAACTTTTTAGCTGTGTGGCCTTTGAAGGTTTGAAGATTCAGGTATATGTAAGCATCAGATAACATCTTTTACTTAAAAAACAAACAAAGAAACAAAAGAAACATAACATAAATACCCCAAATGAAATTGCTTTGTAAATGTTAATGATTATTGTTACTATCAATTCTTATTAGTGACTTTATTCACTTCAAAGGTACATTGTTAATGCTTTTGTTTTACTATATGTGAATCCTTTAACTTTGATTATATATTTCCTTAATTGCTATGATTAGCATGTGGAAGCCTACTAGTATAATTCCTCTATATTGAAACATATGGGAGCTTCCTGTCAAGACATCAAAATTATAACTAAAATACAGAACAACCATCATTCAGAATCACCTGAAATCTGGCTGAATGGAAGTCCTACAACTACAGAATTAAAGAAGAGGCCACATTGAGACTGGTAGGAGGGGCAGAGACACAGACTGGGCTGGTCACACCTACATATTTTATGAAATGTTAAAGGGTCTTCTTTAAGAAGAAGAAGAAAAAAAGATAAAAAATATGAACACCAAAATGGCAATAAATACCTATCTATCAACAATTGAATCTAGAAAACAAAATGAACAAGAACAACAAAAATAGACTCACAGATTCAGAGAACATTTTGACAGTCGTCAAATGGGAGGGCAGTTGGCGGGGTGGGTAAAAAAGGTGAAGGGATTAAGAAGTACAAATTCGTTGTTACAGAATAGTCATGGGGATGGAAAGTACAGCGTAGGGAATCTATAATAATAAAAGTGTAATATGCTAATTAGACCAGACAGCAGAAAGACCTTCCAGACGTCCTTCCAGACGAAGCCAGGGCTGCAAGGGCTAAGGCAAGCTGCCACAGCTGTGAGGGCCAAGCCCCTTGCACGAATTTTGTGCATCAGACCTCTAGTATAGTCAATAATATTCTAATAACTATGTATGGTGTCAGATGGGTGTGAAATTATCAGGATGATCACTTAGTAAGTAATGTCTAATCACTGTGTTGTACACCTGAAACTAATATAATAATAATGTATGTCAACTGTAATTGAAAAAAATTTTTAATTATTTTTAAAAAGAAATATAGCCCTAGCTGGTTTGGCTTAGTGGCTAGAGCATTGGCCTGCGGACTGAAGGGTCCTGGGTTTGATTCCAGCCAAGGGAACATGCTCGGGTTGCGGGCACGATCCCCACTATGGGGTGTGCAGGAGGCAGCTGATCTGTGATTCTCTCTCATTGATGTTTCTACCTCTCCCTCTCCCTTCCTCTTTGAAATCAATAAATATATATATATATATTTAAAAAACCATAAAATTATTGTATTGGCTAAAATTATTGTAAATATTACTATTTCATTCTTGTATGAAGAGGGTTTTTAAAAATCTTCTTTTGCTTTAAAGTACGAAAGGATATAAAGTGAAAAGTTTCTTCCAGCCCATTCCCTTTCCTCAGGCAACCAATTTGCTAGTTACTTAGGTAGCCTTCCACAAAAGTTTTATACAAATAAGCGTCTATACTTAACTGCATTTCCTTTTCTGGGGGTACAGATGCTAACTTTTTTTCCTTCTTTTTTTAGCATATAATGAGCTTCAGGAAAAAAATGGGAATTATTTTTGGCACACAATGAGCTTCTTTATCAGAAAAAACATGAGTAACTACTTCATAGAGTTTATGTGAAAATTAAATACAGTTAACCTATGTAAAGCACTTAGAAAAATGCCAGGCATGTTGTAACCTCTATGTTAGTTTTGTTGTGAACCTTCACCCAAGGGTTTTTCCCCCATTGATTTTTAGAGAAAGTAGAAGTGGGAGGGGGCCCACGGGGTCAGCGTGAGGCGCCCCTGTGCTCCTAGGGCATTTCTACTGCTGCACCGAGAGGACACCCATCTCTGTGGACTTGGAATTCCCGGAGAGCTGCATTTATGAACAACTGGCAATGATTTCCTAAGTCCTACCCTCTTCATTGTCCTTTGTGTTGTATTTTGGAACATCCAAAAACTATGAAAATGAACAACATTAGTAATGAAGAGTTTGACTGCCATTTCCTCAATGAGGGCTTTACTGCCAAGGACCTTCTAGACCAGTGGTTCTCAACCTTGGCTGCACATTAGAATCACCTGGGAATCTTCTTAAAATCCTGATTTCTGGGCCTCATCCTCCCGAAATTCTGTTTCTTTGTTATGGGGTGGGGCCACAACATTAGTAACAGAGAAACAGAATTTCGGGAGGATGAGGCCCAGAAATCAGGATTTTAAAAAAGACACCCCATAACAAAGAAACAGAATTTCGGGGAGGATGAGGTCCAGAAATCAGGATTTTAAGAAGATTCCCAGGTGATTCTAATGTGCAGCCAAGGTTGAGAACCACTGTTCTAGACCAAAAAATTGATGAAGTCTCTTCTTCCAATGATAAGGATGCCTTCTCTGCTGCAGATCTGAGAGACATTCTAAAGAAACATCTGAAATGGTTAAAAGCTCTTCCTTGGTATACCCTTTTTATGCAGTCAAATGCAGTGATAGCAGAACCATAGGGAAGACTCTAGTTGTCATCGGGACGGGATTTGACTATGCCAGCAGGACTGAAATACAATTAGTGCAGAGTTTTGGGGTGCCTCCAGGGAGGATTATCAATGCAAATCCTCGTAAACAAGTGTTTCCGATTAAATATGATGCCACTAATGGAATCCAGATGATGACTTTTGATAGTGAAGTTGAGTTGATGAAAGTTGCCCGAGCACATCCAAAGGCAAAGTTGGTTTTGTAGATTGCAAAGCAGTCCGTCATCTCAGTGTTAAATCTGGCGCCATACTTAAAACCAGCAAGCTTCTTTTGGAACAGGCAAAAGAGCGAAACATTGATGTCATTGGTGTCAGCTTCCACATGGGAAGTGGCTGTACTGACCCTGAGATCTTCATGCAGGCCATCTCTGATGCCTCCTGTGTCTTTGACATGGGAGCTGAGGTTGGTTTCAACATGTATCTGCGGGATATTGGAGGTGGCTTCCCTGGATCTGAGTGTGCAAAGCTTAAATTCGAGGAGATGGCCTGTGTAATCAAGCAAGTATTTTCCAACAGACTCAGGAGTGACATTCATAGCTGAGCCAGGCAGATACTATGCTGCATCAGCTTTCACGCTTGCAGTTAATATCATTGCCAAAAAACTGGTATTAAAGGAACAAACAGGTTCTGATGATGATGATGAGTTAAGTGAAAAAACCTTTATGTATTATGTGAGTGATAGAGTATATGGATCATTTAATTGCATCTTCTATGATCATGTGCACGGGAAACACCTTCTGCAGAAGCATCCCAAACCAGATGAGAGGTATTCTTCATTTAGCATGTGGGACCAACCTGTGACAGCCTTGATCTCATTGTAGAACACTTTGGCTTACCCAAGATGCATGTGGGGGACTGGATGCTCTTTGAAAACATGGGTGCTTACACTGCCGCTGCTTCTATTCTCAATGGATTCCAGAGGCTGACCATCTACTATGTGATGTCAGGGTCGGCATGGCAACTGATGTGGCAAGTCCACAACAACTTCCAGCCCGAGGTGGAGAAGCAGAAACACCAGCGCTCTGCTTGTGTCTGGTGCCTGGGAGAGCGGGATTTCAGCTCCTGTTAATGTGTAGATGCCATTCTTGTAGCTGTTATGCAAGTGTAGCTTGACTTAGGGACTTGGGGAGACCATTTAACTTAATTATGGATAATTTTGAAATGTCTTTGTAAGTGGGGTTGGCACAAATGGAAGAAGGTGGAAGGCCTAGGTGACGGGGTCATACTTATCTGTGTTCCTATGGAAACTATTTGAATGTTTGTTTTATATGGATTTTTATTCAATTTTCAAACATGCTACTGCAGAGTGCCCTTTAGCTGCTGGGCAAGCATTTGTAGCTTGTACATTGGCAGAACAGGCCAGAGGCTTAGTGTTGTGACCTGTTTTAACAACGAAGTGCCTTGAAAATTTTAAAAATAAAATAAACATTTATTTTTATTCATTTCAGAGAGGAAGGGAGAAGTAGAGAGAGATAGAAACATCAATGATGGGAGAGAATCATTGATTGGCTGTCCCCTGCACAACCCATACTGGGGATCTGGCCCGAAATCTGGGCATGTCTTCTGACTGGAATCGAACTGTGACCTCCTGGTTCATAGGTTGACACTCAACCACTGAGCCACACCGGCCAGGCTCTATATTAATTTTTTATTGCTGTGTAACAAATTACCAAAAAGTTAGTGACTTAAAGCAATAACCATGTATAACCTCAGTTTCTATATGTCAGAGTATGGGTATGGCTTAGCTGGTTTCTGTGCCTGGGTCTCACAATGCTGACATCATGTGTCAGCTGGGCTGCTTTCTCACCTGTACACTCAACAGGAAAGAATTTTCTTCTAAGTGCTCTCAAGCTGTTGGCAGCTGTAGAATTCATGGCAGCTTGCTTCTTCAAAGCTGATGGGAGACAGTGTGTGCTGCTTGGAGGATCTGTCCTCAGGGAATGCGTATGTTCTCTGTTTTTTGTTTTATTTTTAAATTAAGATATATTCCATATATTATAAAATCTATCCTTTTAAACTGTATAATTTGTGGGTTTTAGTATATTCACAAAGTTGTGCAACTAACAGCATATCTAGTGCCAGAATATTTTCATCACACCAAAGGTAATCCTATAATTAATTAGCAATCTGTCCTCATTCTCTCCTCTCCCCAACCCCTGGTAATCACCTATCATCTGTTCCTATGAATTTGCCTATTTTAAACTTTCATTTGAATGGAATAATACAGTATGTGACTTTTTGTATCTGATTTTTCTCTTAACATAATCTTTTCAAGATTCTTCCACATAGTAGCATGTATCAATATTTCACTCCTTTATATGGCTGTATTCCATTGTATGGATATACCCTATGGTAGATATTTAGGTTGTTTCCAGTCCTTTGCTATTACAAACATTTGTCCCATTACAAACAACATTAAGAATAAATAAACATTAAGAATGTGAATGAATATGTATATCTGTATTATAACTTCTAGAAGTAAAATTGTGAAGTCAAAGGTTTATGCATCAGTAATACTGATTGCTGAGTTATACCATTTATATCCTGTCTTTTAAAGTACTGTTTGAGGAGGTGATATGAAATGGCAAAGTGGAAAATGCACTGGGTTCTGGACTTTGTTTTGCCACTAAGAAGAGAGGTTAGCATACAGCAGTTATTAAGAGCATGGGCTTTGGAGGCAGACTGCCTGGGTTAGAATCTTGGTTCTGCCATTTATGATCGAAATGACCTTAAGAAAGTTAAATACTCTGTCTCAGTTTCCTTATCTGTAAAATAGAGATAACATTAGTACTTTGTGTGGGGATTAATGAGACAATACATTAATGCTCTTATAACAGTGCTTGACTTATAGAAAGTACTCGATGCATGTTAACTGTAATTATTAGTTTGCTGTGTGATCTTGGGCTACTGCCCTTTCCTATTTATTTATTTTATTTTTTCCATCACCATTTGTCTCCTCTTCCCCTCCCCTACAATCACCACACTGTTGTCCATGTCCATGAGTTCTTTTTGTTTAATCCCTTCATTTCCCTCAACACCCCCCACCCCATGCTTTTTTATTTTTAAAATGAGATGAATTGGATTATTTTCATGTTTCAAAATTTTAAAAATGAAATTGTGGTCCCTGGGTATTTAATGATATATTCTCATATTCTCTAATGTTCCTTGTGTTGTTGTTGAGGGTAAGGGGCATCATAGGTTTTATACTTCTAACCTTTGGTAGCCCGTGCCCCAGATCCATGTACTACATCTGTGGTAGCTCTTCCCCTTGCACACCTCCCCTCCCCCCATACATACTGGAGATCTATATGCATACACATATATACACACACATATGTATATCCTCTTTATCTCACCATGTTAATTTTCCTGAGATAGGTAGATTTACCAAATGTATGCCCCTCTATCCCTCTCCTAGACCCGACTCTTCACTTAACCTGTAGGTCTCCATTTAGCCATCACTATTGACTCTAGTTTTAGATATATTCCCCACTGACCCATAAAGTCCAAGGAGGTAACCATGTCCACTTGCTTCAGGGTTACATCTTCAGCACATAGCAATGGTTAGCACCCATTAAACAACTAAAAAAAATATTATAACATTGAATATTAGTAATTAGTAATATCCAGCAGAACCTGAATTTTTTTGCTATCTATGATAATTGACTATATAGTTAAAATTATGTTAGAGATTTCCAATTTTCTTATACCTTATAATGTATAATACTGATTCATTAAAAAATTTTTAAATAAATGATTTGTAATATAAAATTTTTGTCATCACAAAATTTAAGATGCAGTCTCTGTGGAAGACTACTGGTTCTCTAGTCTTAGTTTTAGGTACCCTTTACCACCAACTGGTGTGTTTGCTTTATGCATAGCCTAGGATTTCTACCTTCCAGGCTGGCTGTTGATAAACAAATGAGGATTGCCTTGAGGAGTAGTGGCACCAGTATGCAACTAGTTCATATTTATTATCTTTTAATCTGATAAAATTAGCTTTTAGGGATACTTTTAATAAACCAACAAAAATGTTCAGAGACCTCAACATTTGTTTCTGATCTTCTGTAGCCTCTTTTATATCAAGGAAAGTGCCTCTTCCTCCAAATTTAAAAAGTCACTTTTATCTTAAAATAATGAACATTTTGTTTCAATATAGCTCATGTTTTCATCAGTATTTTTTCATGTTTTTACATGAACTGTTTACTAAAAGGAATAATTGTTTTTATTACACTCATTGTCCTTCCATTTGCTGAGCTGATTCAAATAGGTTGGGCAAACCATGATTAGCTTTTCCATATAGGCTGTTAAACACGGATGTTTATCACAGGACATAGGAATTCAACTTTCATGTTGATCTTGAGGATGTTCTTTAAGTAGCAAGGCCTAGAGCAGAGGTGGGGAACCATTTTTTTCTGCCAAGGGCCATTTGGATATTTCTGACATCATTTGCTGGCCCTACAAAATTATCATCTTAAAAATTAGCCTGCTATATTTGGTCAAACATTTAATTAACTCACGCCTAATGCTTTGGCAGGGCCAGACCAAATGATTTTCCAGGCCTTATATAGCCCGAGAGGTGAACATTCCCCACCCCTGGCCTAGAATTTTGTTATAACTATAGGTTCGGTCAGTCATCTCCTTCGGAGACCGCTGGAGTTTGAGAATCGAGACTTGGGGTTCCAATCCTGATCTTGCTGCCAGGAGACTGAACTAGGTGTCAATCCTCACGTCTTCATCCATAATGCATAAAGGTGCACAGCTGCTGTCGAGATCAGGTCTTGGAGAAGTAGTCAAGTGTAAGGACTTTGTGATGGAGTTAAACAGACCTGACTTCAAGTTCTGATTTTCATAACTTCATTTCATTCAAGGTCTTGAAATACTTTTAAAAATCCGTATTTTAAATTGTGCATAACACCGGCATAGCACAGATATACTGTAGGTTCGATTCCAGATTACTTTATTAAAGTCAGTTGTAATCTTTTTGCAGGTGGAGAGACTGATCTTCAGTTTGTAAAAAAAAAAAAAAAGCAACATCTGTGAAGCTCAATCAAGCAAAGCACATAAAACAAGGTATACCTGTGGTATCTCCCTGGTAGTTATTGTGAGGATTAAATGGAGATGATGTAACTCGTCTTGTCCAGTGCCTAGCATATAGAAAGCAACCAGAAAATACTGTCTGTATTCAGTGATAGTGGTTTCAACCTAGTCAGCAAAAACTATTCAAAAGGCATTCCACTTGACTATTTTCAAGTACCACTTGCTGTATATATTTTTTATTATATT